GGGGACCGTCAGCGCCGGGGACCGTCAGCGCGGGGGACCGTCAGCGCCGGGGGACCGTCAGCGCCGGGGGACCGTCAGCGCCGGGGGACCGTCAGCGCCGGGGGACCGTCAGCGCCGGGGGACCGTCAGCGCCGGGGGACCGTCAGCGCCGGGGGACCGTCAGCGCCGGGGACCATCAGCGCCGGGGACCATCAGCGCCGGGGGACCGTCAGCGCGGGGGACCGGCAGCGCCGGGGACCGGCAGCGCCGGGGGACCGTCAGCGCCGGGGACCGTCAGCGCCGGGGGACCGTCAGCCGGGGGACCGTCAGCGCCGGGGGACCGTCAGCGCCGGGGGACCGTCAGCGCCGGGGGACCATCAGCGCCGGGGGACCATCAGCGCCGGGGGACCATCAGCGCCGGGGACCATCAGCGCCGGGGACCGGCAGCGCCGGGGACCGGCAGCGCCGGGGACCGTCAGCGCCGGGGACCGTCAGCGCCGGGGACCGTCAGCGCCGGGGACCGTCAGCGCCGGGGACCGGCAGCGCCGGGGGACGCTACACACACCATGAGTAAGATCTGCAGTAATCCCGGCCCTTATAAGACGGCCAGATAAGGAGCTGCTGGAAGATAAGGAGCGCCCCAAGTGACGTCACAACCACCCTCGGCCACACCCAACAACCGTATTTGGAGAATTATTCATGTTTTTACAGAGTCGCTATTGCTACCCCGATGGGTTGCAAATTGAATTATTTCCACTACTAATACTGTTTATTACTGAGGCACCTCACACCTATTGCCAGTACCAGGGTGAGGAGAGTGTTAGGAGCAAGAGGTACCACAACACCATTGTAGCGGGTTCTAGACCTCGCTTCCCTGTCCTCATTGAGTACATGTAGCCTGCCCAGCAGCAGCCTGCCCAGCAGCAGCCTGCCCAGCAGCAGCCTGCCCAGCAGCAGCCTGCCCAGCAGCAGCCTGCCCAGCAGCTGCCTGCCCAACAGCAGCCTGCCCAACAGCAGCCTGCCCAACAGCAGCCTGCCCACCAGCAGCCTGCCCCGCAGCAGCCTGCCCCGCAGCAGCCTGCCCCGCAGCAGCCTGCCCCGCAGCAGCCTGCCCAGCAGCAGCCTGCCCACTACACAAAGAGCCAGAGTTCAACCCCCGCAAGCACAAATAGGCGAGTACTACAGCCTGCCCACCACAGGGGTCTGGTAGCTGGGCGGACAGCGCGCAGGACTCGTAATTCTGTGGCCCGGGTTAGATTCCCGGACCAGGCAGGAACAAATTGGCAAAGTTTTTTTCACCCTGATGCGTCTGTTACCTAGCAGTAAATAGGTATCTGAGAGACAGCTGTTACGGAACTGCTTCGTGTGTGTGTGTGTGTGTGTGTGTGTGTGTGTGTGGACAAAAAATATATATATAGTTAGTAGTTACAGTTGATTGACAGTTGAGAGGCGGGCGGAAAGAGCAGAGCTCGACCCCCGCAAGCACAACCAGGTGAACACAGCCTAGTCCACACCATCTTCAGTAAGGTGAAGGCTCACAACGGACTCTCGCCCACAACAACACAAGAGAACATGTCAAGATGTTATGGTAATCGACGCCGTTTTCACCTTAACGGTAATAGTCAAAGAAAACGGCATGCATATTTATATATACTTATTTTACGTATATATTAGATAGTGTATTTCTTTATAAAAGAGAATGTCATTCTAGCTAAGGTTGGAGGCCAGACGGCTGGGGCTAGCCTCGCAAAACTCTGTATGGTTGCATGGGGAGTGTCAGCGGTGGTCGGGGTTCGTACCCCGCGTAGGTCACATAGTGCAGACTACTGATCACACGGCCTTGTATGGGTGGTGTGGGTGGTGGGTGAGGGGGGGCAGGGTTGTGTGGGTGGTGGGTGAGAGAGGGGCAGGGTTGTGTGGGTGGTGGTGAGAGGGGCAGGTTATGTGGGTGGTGGGTGAGAGGGGCAGGGTTGTGTGGGTGGTGGGTGGGTGAGAGAGGGGCAGGGTTGTGTGGGTGGTGGGTGGGGTGAGAGAGGGGCAGGTTGTGTGGGTGGTGGTTGGGTGGAGAGGGGCAGGGTGTGGGGTGGTGGTTGGTGAGAGGGGGGCAGGGTTGTGTGGGTGGTGGGTGAGAGAGGGGCAGGGTTGTGGTGGGTGAGAGAGGGGCAGGGTTTTGGGTGGTGGGTGAGAGAGGGGCAGGGTTGTGTGGGTGGTGGGTGAGAGGGGGGCAGGGTTGTGTGGGTGGTGGGTGAGAGGGGGCAGGGTTGTGTGGGTGGTGGGTGAGAGAGGGGCAGGGTTGTGTGGGTGGTGGGTGAGAGAGGGGCAGGGTTGTGTGGGTGGTGGGTGAGAGAGGGGCAGGGTTGTGTGGGTGGTGGGAGGGTGAGAGAGGGGCAGGGTTGTGTGGGTGGTGGGTGGGTGAGAGAGGGGCAGGGTTGTGTGGGTGGTGGGTGGGTGAGAGAGGGGCAGGGTTGTGTGGGTGGTGGGTGGGTGAGAGAGGGGCAGGGTTGTGTGGGTGGTGGGAGGGTGAGAGAGGGGCAGGGTTGTGTGGGTGGTGGGTGGGTGAGAGAGGGGCAGGGTTGTGTGTGGTGGTGGTTGGGTGAGAGAGGGGCAGGGTTGTGTGGGTGGGTGGGTGGGTGAGAGAGGGGCAGGGTTGTGTGGGTGGTGGTGGGTGAGAGAGGGGCAGGGTTGTGTGGGTGGTGGGTGGGTGAGAGGGGGGCAGGGTTGTGTGGGTGGTGGGTGAGAGGGGGGCAGGGTTGTGTGGGTGGTGGGTGAGAGGGGGGCAGGGCTGTGTGGGTGGTGGGTGAGAGGGGGCAGGGTTGTGTGGGTGGTGGGTGAGAGGGGGGCAGGGTTGTGTGGGTGGTGGGTGAGAGGGGGGCAGGGTTGTGTGGGTGGTGGGTGAGAGGGGGCAGGGTTGTGTAGGGTGGTGGGTGAGAGAGGGGCAGGGTTGTGTAGGGTGGTGGGTGAGAGAGGGACAGGGTTGTGTGGGTGAGAGAGGGGCAGGGTTGTGTGGGTGAGAGAGGGGCAGGGTTGTGTGGGCGAAGAGGGGCAGGGTTGTGTGGGCATAGAGGGGCAGGGTTGTGTGGGGGTGGGGGGGGTGGGGGGGCGAGAGAGGGGCAGGTTTGTGTGGGCGAGAGAGGGGCAGGGTTGTGTGGGTGAGAGAGGGGCAGGGTTGTGTGGCGAGAGAGGGGCTGGGTTGTGTGGGCGAGAGAGGGGCAGGGTTGTGTGGGCGAGAGAGGGGCAGGGTTGTGTGGGCGAGAGAGGGGCAGGGTTGTGTGGGCGAGAGAGGGCAGGGTTGTGTGGGCGAGAGAGGGGCAGGGTTGTGTGGGTGAGAGAGGGGCAGGGTTGTGTGGGTGAGAGAGGGGCAGGGTTGTGTGGGTGAGAGAGGGGCAGGGTTGTGTGGGTGAGAGAGGGGCAGGGTTGTGTGGGCGAGAGAGGGGCAGGGTTGTGTGGGCGAGAGAGGGGCAGGGTTGTGTGGGTGAGAGAGGGGCAGGGTTGTGTGGGCGAGAGAGGGGCAGGGTTGTGTGGGTGAGAGGGGGGGGGGCAGGGTTGTGTGGGTGAGAGGGGGGGCAGGGTTGTGTGGGTGAGAGGGGGGGGCAGGGTTGTGTGGGTGAGAGGGGGGGGGCAGGGTTGTGTGTGTGAGAGAGGGGGGCAGTGTTGTGTGGGTGAGAGGGGGGGGCAGGGTTGTGTGGGTGAGAGAGGGGGGCAGGGTTGTGTGGGTGAGAGATGGGGCAGGGTTGTGTGGGTGAGAGAGGGGGGCAGGGTTGTGTGGGTGAGAGAGGGGGGCAGGGTTGTGTGGGTGAGAGAGGGGGGCAGGGTTGTGTGGGTGAGAGGGGGGGCAGGGTTGTGTGGGTGAGAGAGGGGGGCAGGGTTGTGTGGGTGAGAGAGGGGGGCAGGGTTGTGTGGGTGAGAGAGGGGGGCAGGGTTGTGTGGGTGAGAGAGGGGGGCAGGGTTGTGTGGGTGAGAGAGGGGGGGGGCAGGGTTGTGTGGGTGAGAGAGGGGGGGGGCAGGGTTGTTGGGTGAGAGAGGGGGGGGGCAGGGTTGTGTGGTGAGAGGGGGGGGGGCAGGGTTGTGTGGGTGAGAGGGGGGGGGCAGGGTTGTGTGGGTGGGAGGGGGGGGCAGGGTTGTGTGGGTGGGAGGGGGGGGCAGGGTTGTGTGGGTGGGAGGGGGGGGGGCAGGGTTGTGTGGGTGGGAGGGGGGGGCAGGGTTGTGGGTGGGTGGGGGGGGCAGGGGGTGGGTGGAGGGGGGGGCAGGGTTGTGTGGGTGGGAGGGGGGGCAGGGTTGTGTGGGCGGGAGGGAAGATTTAATGTGTGAGAGAGTAGTCTGGGGTTGGCGCGGGGTACCTAGATGGGATCTTATCTGCCTATCAGCAGCACTCTTATCTTGTGTGTGTTGTGACACACTGCCTCTCCACCACCATCAATACCACAACCACCACCACCCACCATCACCACCAGTCGTCAACCACAGTACGTGAACATGAGACACCGGTGGTAACCGAGTGCTCAAATGAGCCACAGAGACGTTAGAAAATTTTTTTGTCAGTGTCAGAGTAGTTAACAAATGGAATGCACTAGGCAGTGATGAGGTGGAGGCTGACTCCATACACAGTTTCAAATGTAGATATGATAGAGCCCAGGAAGCTCAGGACCAGTTGATTGACAGTTGAGAGGCGGGACCAAAGAGCCAAAGCTCAACCCCCGCAAGCACAACTAGGTGAGTTGTTGTTGTTTTAAGATTCGCTACTTGGAACAAAAAGTTCCAAGTAGCACGGGCAATGGTGGGCCCGTAGTGGACTTACTACTAGGTGAGTACAGTCTACCCTTCCTATCCCCTCACTCCTCCCTCTTTTCCACTCTCGCGCATGGAACGATATGGCCAGTCATTCCAGTCGGGCCCCCCGCGACTGGCCCGGGGCCCCCCGCGACTGGCCCGGGGCCCCCCGCGACTGGCCCGGGGCCCCCCGACTGGCCCGGGGCCCCCGCGACTGGCCCGGGGCCCCCCGCGACGGCCCCGGGGCGCCCCCCGCGACTGGCCCGGGGCCCCCGCGACTGGCCCGGGGCCCCCGCGACTGGCCCGGGGCCCCCCGCGACTGGCCCGGGGCCCCCCGCGACTGGGCCAGGGCCCAGGAAGGTGGCAAGAGAAGGATTCTAACCATTAAGGAAGACATGGCAGTAACCGAGGAGGGAGAGCAGCAGCGGGAAGCATTATATGTAAATAAAGCATAATGAGCAGAGCGGATATAGCCGTAGATATTAAGGGAGACAGAAGGTGTACTATGTTACCTTGTAACTCAAGTCTGTATATTGTGCTGTTAGAGTAGGGAAGCCCTGGCAGTTTGCAAGACCTCTAAGGTGACGCTCATTATAGACATGTGGGAGGTATACAGCAGTAGACATTGCAAACTACTGGAGAAGGTAATCAGTAAGATGATGTTGGAGTATCTGGAGGTTTTATTTTGTATCTAAAAATAAAAAATAAAGATCTAAAATTTATCTGAAATCGCACAGCTACAAAGATTAGACAGGAAGCAGCAGGATGGATTCTGTGGCGTTCCTTTCCTCGTTAGTGGGAGCATGGCCGAACACCTTCCTCTTAAACGCCACCACCTTTCCACACAACTCTTAGAATGTCCGTTATTGACAGCGACCTCCTTCACTCTCTGCCTGTTAAGCCTGCATCCAGACCAACCCGTTCTCGCAAATTTAATAAGTCAATATTGACTTATAATATATGTGCATAGGTGACATACTTAACATAATAGTTTCCCTTGAAAAGCTTCATAGAAAACACCGACCTTACCTAACCTACTTAGTATGTTAAGATAAGCATCTTATTGCTTCGTAATTACAATTATTACCTAACCTATACCTATAATAGTAATTATTAGTAATACCTATAAAAGTAACAATTGTAATTACGAAGCTATAAGATGCTTATTTTAACATACTAAGTAGGTTAGGCAAGGTCGGTGTTTTCTATGAAGCTTTTCAAGAGAAACTATTATGTTTAGTATGTCACCTATGCACGCAACTAATAAGTCAATATTGACTTATTAAATTTGCGAGAACGGGTTGTCCAGACCCAACTGTGTGTAAGACGACGGCTCACATAGCCGTCGACAACACGGCTTCTGTCCACCAGGGTAGAACCATTATATGTGATTATATGTAATTGACTATCCAGTGCTAACATGAAGGCACATTACTGTTAGTTCCCATGTGTAGTGTAGGGCGCCGTCATTCCTTTACCAGATTATTATATTCAGGAAGGGCAGCTTGCCTTCACTCTTCAGTCCGTAAGTGAAACTAGGCACGGAATTTAGGTTGAAAGCTGCTTTAATCAGTGGTAAACATTCCATGTCAGGCCCTTACGAGAAGTCGACAACACCACCTACAGTGGACGTCAGATTTATGATCACTCAACTAGGACTTGCTCCTCAGTAGCAGCTGTATAAAAACTCTCAAAATTCCCCCGTCCCTTCCCTTCCCCCCTTTTTTTCCTTCCCTTTTCCTTCGTTCCCTTCCCCCCTTCATTCCCGTCCCTCCCATCCCTTCCTTCATTCCCTTCCCTCGCATCCCTTCCTTCATTCCCTTCCCTCCCATCCCTTCCTTCATTCCCTTCCCTCCCATCCCTTCCTTCATTCCCGTCCCTCCCATCCCTTCCTTCATTCCCTCCCTCCCATCCCTTCCTTCATTCCCTTCCCTCCCATCCCTTCCTTCATTCCCGTCCCTCCCATCCCTTCCTTCATTCCCGTCCCTCCCATCCCTTCCTTCATTCCCGTCCCTCCCATCCCTTCCTTCATTCCCTTCCCTCCCATCCCTTCCTTCATTCCCGTCCCTCCCATCCCTTCCTTCATTCCCGTCCCTCCCATCCCTTCCTTCATTCCCGTCCCTCCCATCCCTTCCTTCATTCACGTCCCTCCCATCCCTTCCTTCATTCCCGTCCCTCCCATCCCTTCCTTCATTCCCGTCCCTCCCATCCCTTCCTTCATTCCGTCCCTCCCATCCCTTCCTTCATGCCCGTCCCTCCCATCCCTTCCTTCATTCCCGTCCCTCCCATCCCTTCCTTCATTCCCTTCCCTCCCATCCCTTCCTTCATTCCCTTCCCTCCCATCCCCACTCTTCACACAGAGGCAGGTGTCGCGGCGAGAAGTTTCCGCTGACGTTTATAATCAGGCTGATAATTAAAGTCAAGTAGGCCGACTTAGGCCTTCAGTTTTAGTAGAGAAAGTTATGACCAAATGTCCACACACTTGTACACCTGACTGTCAGTGTTGTGTGGTGGGGGGCGGGGCTGTGTACCACCCGAGACGCATCTCCTTCAACAGTGTGACCAACTTGAAGATCTTGGAGTAATCATGTTAGATTAATCATGTTATTCCATCATGATCTTGGAATAATCATGTTAGAAGGTCTAGTGTTCAGAGTAACCTGGCCTCTCCAGCGGTACACCGCATCTTGAAGAATAAATCTCCAACGTCAAAATATGATGTACTATCAATCATAGCGGCTTGTAAGATTGACGCGCTGTCCCCGTTTTCTATTTATGGGTCCTCGGTTAGGTTAGGTTCGGGTAGTTTTGTACATCATTTTTGTGACGTTGTGACAATTGTAAAGGGCGTGCTGTTTAAGTAGCACATCGTGCGAAGACAGCGGCTGGCTGGGATAGGGTGCGTGATGAAAACATTAAAAAGAGGGAATTGCTCGCCAGTCATTACTTGAATGTTGTGAAGGCAAACAACATTGGGAGAGAGGACATCATGAGGCAATATGATCACATATTACAAGATGCCCACGAGTATATTAAACATACTCGAAGGAAGGAAGGAAGGAAATATCAAGGGAAAGCGCCAAGCCATTACGACTATATAGCACTTGGAAGGGGTCAGGATAAGGGTTGGGAATGGAACGGGGGAAGGGAATGGTGCCCAACCACTTGGACGGTCGGGGATTGAACACCGACCTGCATGAAGCGAGACCGTCGCTCTACCGTCCAGCCCAAGTGGTTGGACTAAACATACTGGAGAACCACAGGTTCTCTCAAGCTGAGGGATAACAGAGCACAGATAAACAAGAATAAGTTGGGAAAGGAAGGAGCCAGAGCAATGTAAGTAAGTGGTGGTGTGGTTGGAGTGTAGTAAACAAGGATGGCTTCTTCCACCCCTCTGCGGCATGAAGAGAGAGGTGGAAGAAGCCATCGCTGTTGACAGCTTCATGAGCATGTGTAGTCGTTACCTTGTTTGGCCGTGAACCATTTGTGGGGACTGGGACCATCCGGTCCACTATTGGCAGTGGCCTGGCGGCTCCAGGTTCTTTGCCCTGCGGCTGTTTTCCTCGTGCTGTGCCTTGCGGCGTTTGTGGGATATTCGAGTATACTTGGGATATATGCAGCATTTTGACCATTTCCCAGGATGCCACCCACAACAGTTGACTAACACCCAGGTTCCTAATCACTGCTAGGTGAACAGAGGCAACGGGTGTAAGAAGACTTCCCCATACGTCTCGCCCTGCCTCGTTCGAAAGTCCGGTGTAAATGCGCAAGGTAACAACGGCTACGAGGCGGGTCTTTGGAGCTGGAGCTTACAGCCAGTAGACTAGGTAACAAAACCACAACCAACTGCCTGCATCCACTCACCCTCGGCCATCCGGCTACACAAGTAACAACTTGGGACTGTGATATGGTTGAGCTTTACGATTAAATAGTGTTGACCAGACCACACACTAGAAGTTGAAGGGACGACGACGTTTCGGTCCGTCCTGGACCATTCTCAAGTCGATTGTGTTAAATAGTGTTGTGGTATGGTAGGTGGTGGTCAACAATGACTGAGCCACCATCATGTGGTGTGATGTTGACACGCATCATGCCATCCACTCGGTGAGTCACGGGCCACAACACTACTAGGTGGCGCGGGCAGCTGCGGGAGAAAGTGTTACCTTCAGGTGGGTCCCTGGATGTTCCCCCCCCTCCTCCCCCCCCCCTCCCCCCCCCCCGCGGACCGGTCTGCACCTAGGCCTCCTGGTTATCTGCTCGACCAGGCTGAGCCGCTAGGACTTAATAGCTTAATAGCCTCGCTAATAGCTTTGGTGGTTGTGTTTCTCGGTGCAGACTGTCACAATAACGAGGCTGAACACAGAGACATCAACCCACAACTCTGAAAATTGAGGACGACGTTTCAGTCCGTCCTGGACTATTCTCAAGTTGCGCTTAGTTCTCGGTGTTTGATATTCTAGGTGGCGAGGTGGTGCGTGGTTCACACTAACTAGAACTCATGTCATACATTACACACGTTCCTCCTGCGTTAGGCTTGAAGCTCTGTCATGCCTCCTGTTGACATTTACTGTAAACTCTGCTGTTCCTTGACGACATTTACGTTGAGGTCTGCTGTATCTTCCTGGGATTAACAGCTCCACGGCCCGGTCTCCAACCAGGCCTCCCGGTTGGTCGTCTGGTCAACCAGGCTGTTGGACGCGGCTGCTCGCAGCCTGACATATGAATCACAGCCTGGTTGATCAGGTATTCTTTGGAGGTGTTTGTCGAGTTCTCTCTCGAGTTCTTTAATCGGTCTGAATAATTAAGTTGATTTATAGAGTGGATTCTAGCGGTAAGGGTTCTTTGCACGCTCTCCAGGTCAGCAATATCTCCGTCTCTGAATGGGGCTGTTAGTGCAACAATACTCCACCCTAGAGAGCACTAGTGCCTGGAAAAGTATCATTGGTATGGCTTCCCTTGTTTGGAAGGTCCTTGTTATCCCACCTGTCATTTGTCTTGCAGTCGAGACAGCTACTTTGTGTTCTGTAAAGGTAAGGTCTTCAGACATGATTACTCCTAGATCCTTAACATTTTTTTCGTTCTATAGTGTGATTTGATTCCGTTTTATATATGGTTTCCATTTTTAAATTTGTTATTTTTCCATTTTCCGTTCTCTTCACATATGCTAAATCAAAATTAAAAACAGTGCATGAAGGTTCATACACTGAGGATGGCAAAGAAATTAGTGAACTCCAAATGAGGATTGGGGAGGATGAGGAAAATTAGTGAAATCCAAAGCTGTATGAGGACATGTTTAGCGCTCGATGAACAGCATGAAAGTTGAAGATTCGGACAACTTTTTAATGCGTGACCTCCACAACCCAGGCCAACATGGATTTAAAGCGGGAAGATCATGCCTCTCACAGCTACTTAACCACTACGACAAAGTCGCTGAGGCATTAGAAGAAAAACAGAA